GTTAATCCGTTCTGACCCCTACGAATTTGGTTGCCAACCAATTTTGGTCGCGGCCTGAATCAAATTTTCCCATAAGGTTCAATGTAAATACGGTTAATCCGTTCTGACCCCTACGAATTTGGTTGCCAACCAATTTTGGTCGCGGCCTGAATCAAATTTTCCCATAAGGTTCAATGTAAATACGGTTAATCTGTTCTGAACCATATGTATTTCTTTTTAAACCACAAAAATATGACACAAAGTACAGTACAGTACAGTATGAAGAGAGAGAACACTAACTTTGCTTGAGGCGTGGAGGACAGGAAGGTGGGTGGGGAGGCAGTTATTGTTTGGAGGGAGAGTCCCCCTTCCTGCAAGAAGCCACGACCACATGTGTCAGCAGGGAAAATGGCCGCGGATCCTGTTCGTCACCAGATGCGGAGTTCGCGAACGGAAGCAAAATTCTGCGAACGGTGCTGTTCGTGACCCGAATTGGTCGTGAACAGACGCGTTCATGACCCGAGGTACCACTGTATTATGAAAGATGCCAGTGTCCTCCATTTCTCTTGCTTTTTCAGTTTTTCTTACATAGGTGTACATTCATGGTGCACAATTCTTACCTAGAGTTTTAAGATGAACACAAAGTTGTTGATTTACAACTGATGACAATTGCAATAGGCTACTGGAAGAGAGAGGAAGATTTATTTCATGAATCCTCATTATTGCCATCTAGCTCTTGAGTCCAGTATTTTAACTCAAAGAAGTGTATAATAGCCATAATGTAGATAGAGGTTGTCACTAAACGATTACTTGCTTCCTGACTGGCAGTCTGGTCTCATCGTGTTTTCTACTTGCTCTTTTGTTGGGAGTATCCAGGGTTGCTTTTCACTATTTGAACAAATTGAAATACGATGTAATTTGCTTACTAGAAACACATATAAAGAAGAAAGATATAAAATATTTGATAAATAAGAATTTGGAACAAGAATTTGTTTCAGCTAATTTGAAGAAGATAAATGGACTTGTATTATATGTTAAAAGTTACTTGAAATCACGTTTGTTGTTAATAGATGACCATGGTAGATATGTAGCAGTTGAAGTGGAGATATATGGACTTAAAATGATTGTTATGGGAATATATGCTCCGAACAATGATAAGAGCAAATTTTTTATGCAGCTTTTGAATGAATTGTCAGCTTTCTTATACCAAAGTTGGTGTTTGATCGGAGATTGGAATGGAGTTACTTCACCATTGATTGATAGAACATCTGAAAAGCAAATTAAAACTAAGCAACGAAAATTACCAAAGTCTTTTTCTGATTTAATAGATAATTTGGCATTGGTGGATTCATGGAGATATAAAAATGGATTGGCAAAAGACTTTACTTTTTATTCAGAGAGACATAAACCTTTTTCAAGAATTGATAATGATATGGGTTTCAGCAGACTTGGTAAATAAAATTTCTACAGTGGATATACCAACAAGTTTCAGTGTTGATGGTAAAAGAAATTGAAATAAAATTAAGATATGCTAAACAGAGACATTTTGAATTTGCTGATAAGCCAGGAAGATGGCTAGCATACAAATTAAGGAAAGAGAAAGAGAAAAAAATGATTTTTAAAATTCAAGAAGGAAATGTGGAACTATTGGATAATGAAAAGATTAAAAAACCATTTCATAACTTTTTTTCCCAATTTATATAAAAAACAAGAAATCTCTTTGGAAAAGGTTGATGAATATTTGAATAAGCAAAATTTACCAAAACTTTCACAGTCACAGAAATCAATATTGAACAGTCCTATAACTACTTTTGAAATAGCTGAAGCTATAAAGAGAACTAAATTGGGGAAAGCACCAGGACCTGATGGACTCCCTGCAATATATTATAAATGCTTTGAAGATGAGATTCTTTTACCTTTTTTGATGAACTCTATTTTGCTGGGCGCGGCACTGCCAGATTCATGGAAGGAAGCCAACATTGCGCTTTTACCTAAAGAAGGACAGGATCCTCTCCTAATTAAGAATTATAGTCCAATTTCATTGTTGAATAATGATTATAAAATATTTGCTTCAGTGTTGGCAGAAAGGTTAAAAGAAATCTTACAGGAATGTATTCATCATGACCAATGTGGATTTCTGCCTAAAAGACAATTAAAAGATAATGTCAGAGTTGTGCTGGATATTATAGAATATCTACAACATCATAATGAATGTCAGATGGCTCTTATTTTTTTGGATGCAGAGAAAGCTTTTGACAATTTGAATTGAATTGAATATGTTTAAAGTTTTGGAAAGCATGGACTTTGGAGAACATTTTATACAGGGAATAAAGTCAATTTACACGCCTCAGAAAGCTAGTATTATTGTGAA